AATATACCCCAGCGACTTAAGACTGCTTTTGAGGTCCAGGGTCACATATCAGATTCAATACAGAAAGCTGCTGTTAATATCAGGCCTCACCTCTCCAGCGGACATAGACGTTCTCATATTTGGTGTCCTTCTGTCCCTGGTCTCAATGTGCCTTTCTGCCCAGTCATAATGGATAAAAGACCGTCTGTTCTCACGGTTGGACGTCCGCTTCTTGGTGTTGCCCGGTGGTTGGCTCTTGGCCCTGGATGGTTTTCTTGATACAGATAGCTGAGATTCATCACTATCCAGCTCTTTATTAGGGTAGCACGGCTCTGAACGGGGCGCCCGCTGTCTCTGTCGCCGTTTTGGATTCGATTCTGATGGTCCGTTAGGAGTCACATCTTTGTAACCATTTTCTGCGATAAAAGCAAAATGAGTAGTTTGTTTAAAGGAATAGCTCACTCAGAAATGACGATATAAATCAGGTTTCAGTCATTCCAACACACTGAAGCTGGCAAGACATGAACCTACCCAAGGGAAGTGAGCTTTCCACGGTTGCACTCGTATCTGTGTGAACTTCTCCATTCACCTGTGGCTTCCAGGAGCTCTGAACCTCTGCGTTCTCGTTCTTGGACTCTGATGAGGATGTGTAGTGTTTGGCATTCGAAACGTTCCCGTCTTGCAGTTTGGGACTGGACCTTCCGCTCGAGTCAAACCCGCTGTCCCATCCGTCCCCAAATAACGGTCTGTGTGTCTGCTCCATCAGCCTCCGCGTCAGTCTGTATTTCACAGAGTCCTCGTAACATTTCGAGAACGTCTGCCACTTGGGATCTCTGAACTTCTTCATGTACTCCGTCCGGATCTTCTTGGACATGATGCTGTTATTGGAAGACATTTGGCCCTGCTGAAATAATCACCTACGGAGTGAACATAATAATGTGTCAGTCTTGTCCATGCACGTTCGCATACTTCACGACTCACTCACCATCTGTTCTTAGTAGTGCATAGTGTGGATTGCGATGATTTTAGTATTGCAATCAGTAACTGTGCACAGAGGAGTGTATTGCTATTCCTGTTCTTAGAGTAGGTTACAGCCCAGTGCCCACATTATTTATTTATATTCTTTACATAATACATAAGCCGATGTTACATCCGATCTTTCTAAAGAGCATTTCTGACGTTCTTGGGACGTTTTTAATACACGTTTATTAATAAATCGCCGAGCATGTTCATGCATGCTTAATAATAATCTATTACAACACACTACATTAAACAGAGGTGCAATCATAGTTATTGTTATTAAGAAACTGGAAAAAATAATTGAAATATTAGTCGCTAATGCAGAAAACAGTCTGATTAGGGTGGCAGCGCACTATGTTTACAGGTCTGTCTTCACCTGAGTATGTAGGTAAACATTGACTCGGATAAATGTAAGCGCTTTAAACTCACCCACTCCTTTCTTTTCCGTTCCTTGTGCTTTAGCGTTGGATGAAGTCGTACATTTTTATTCTTGCATCCTTATGAATTCCAAATGCATCCATCCATCACTGTTGAGCGCCTGCTGTGTACTAGAAAAACAAGCCTCGGTGATATTCGGGCTTTGGTGATTTACAGTGCGCATGCGCACTCCATCACTTGGACCGCATGAGGACTTGATGCGCAAATACGCACGCACAATCCAATCTACCGTTTAA